AAGATAGATTTAAAATACAACACATCATGCACTCCATTAAGAATGGGGCTGGACCTTGTTCGTGAGGTCAACAGCCCCAGGCCTGCCGGAACAGCCAGGTTTTAATGGCTTTCCGGAAGGCCGAGAGAGTGGGAAGGGTCCGGATCTCTGCGGGGAGATCATTCCACAATCATTTTACCAAGAAGCCAATGTCAACATTGCCTGGTGATCAGCAGAAACAGCTGGATCCTGTTGGGGAGAACTGACGTTCTCGCCTAGATCCCTCTTCTCTCAGACACTTTCCCCCCTGTCAACTCCCTCCTAGTGGCAGGGAGGACGGACATTGGCCTGATTTCTGCTGAGAATGAATATATTTTCTTTGGTTTTTGGAATGACCGCTGGCTGAAGCCACACGCGGCTCCATTGGATGGTTGCTGCTCCTGTAGATGATCCAACTTCCTCAAGAGAAGCTACTTCCTCACAGAAACTAGATGACGTGAGAAGCCCATCTTGGCTCTGACGGTGGTCCGCTCTCTCTTCCTACAGAGTCTCTGAAAGAGTTGGTGGCCACGTGTGGCGGGAACGTGGAGGATCCGACAGAGGGAATGAAGATGATGGATGCTTTGACGCCCCCACCCTCAGATGCCGGTTCCCCTTCGCACAGCAGCCCCCTCTCCTTTGGTGGCGTCAGTGGAACCGATTCGGAGCCAGACAGCCCTTCATGCGAGGAGGCCAAGGTGAGAACTTGGGGCATTGGGTTGGCTTGAAGACCGCGAGGAACATCTGAGTGATCAACAACTCCTAAAGAAATTGAAGGGTGTGTGTGTGTGTTGCCTTATCTTTTTCCTCCAAAGGACCCAAGGGTGGGTCCTAGATTTTGACCAGGATTCTCATGAAAGGGTCATTGGACCCGCCCTGCCCTCTCTTTCCAATCAAGAAAGAGGTTCTTGCTCTCCAACTTACCTGGTGGCTGTTCTTTGTAGGTGAAACCTGAATATCAAGCTCCTCCAGCGGGCAGCTTGGGAATGCTGGACAGATCCCGCATGGCTCTCTGCACGTTCGTCTTCCTCTGTCTCTCCTTCAACCCGCTTTCTTCCCTACTTGGAGGCGTCGGCCTTGGAGGTTCTTCAGAGGGCTTCAGCCACGATGGTTCCAAGCGCAGCATCCTGGCCATGGACGAGTCAGAAAGTGAGTGGACAACACCTGTCCCGAGCCTGCATGACGGGGACCATTGAGAAGGCTTCATTTTTATGTCCATCCATCCATCCATCCATCCATCCATCCATCCATCCATCCATCATCTATTATCTATCTGCCATCTGTATGTATGTATGTATGTATGTATGTATGTATCTATCTATCTATCTATCTATCTATCTATCTATCTATCTATCTATCTATCTATCTATCTATCTATCTAT